AAGATTCCTATACTTGATTACCAACTTGTCATTTAATAATAGCTATTGCTACTGAAAGAACAATTCCACTGATATTTCACATGTTTATACGGTCCTTGGGACAGGTCTATGTCTCACCCTTGAAATTTTATGAAAATGGCACCAGCATATCTACTGTATATTTGGTGAAAAACAGAATGAGCTCAGAAAACAATACATTCATCATAATTACAACCCCAATACTGTTATCTTATCATGAACAACAAAGATCTATGCACTGGCTTCCCTTTCTACCCAATGAACTTTTTATGCTGCTACTCTCCACAATTATTCTCTGCAAATCACAGCTGTTTGTTACCAGCACACAAGTAGCTCACAATGAACCTTCTATACCAAATGCATATTCTCTCTTCCTCTCCATAAAATTAAATCTCTTCATTTCACAAAAAATAGTTCTGTGACTGCTATTCAATAACGGGAGTGCCTTGACTGCCTTATGCACATGGCTTACCTTCTCTGAAACTCCAATTTTAACTGTAGACTAAGATTTATCTGTATGTTCCCTAATGTTCCTTTTACTCTAAAACCCATTCCCATGACATAGCATAACTTTTTATTTGCCTCACCCAACCCCTAAAGCCATAATTTCAACATTATCCTCAATAACCTCAGGGTTGTAAGAGTCAATATTTATAATTTGTATAATTTGTTTTATATGCACATACACATACAATGACACATTCTCATTTGTATTCTCTTGAGAATAACGACCCATTCTTCTTTCTATTTATTTTAAGCTCCCTTATCAAAGAAAATTCTACTAATAAAGAACAGTGAAAAAAAGTTAAGTAGATAAGAAAAAGGAACTTCAAACTTAATAAGTATACTCTAATATAATGGAGGGCCCAGACTAATTCCAGTAACAATATTTGGAGTTCTCATGGTGCCATCTAGTGGACATTTGCTATAAATTCTACTTAAATATTTTGACTTGCATACTTTATCATCTTACATTACCAGTAGTGCATAGATTTTAAATTTATGTTAAATATATACTTAGGTTATTAAGTTGCCAATAAACTGAAGAATATTCCTTTTTAAAATGACCCTGCCTCAAAGCATCAACTTTAAGTCAACTAAATGAAAATAACACAAATAATAAAAAGTAAAAGAATATATAATAAAAAGGTATTTTCATACAGAACTTTTTTCAAAGTTAAGTAATTATAGCTTTCCAATTAGTCCTCCCAACATTATGGGCACATGTAATGTCTTAAATATAATCTACGTTATTCAATTTCACACATATAATCTTCATGTTTATCTACAAAATGGAAAAAATGATTAACCTATCATCAAATAAAAACACAAATCTTGCACTGAGAGTTATTTTCTGAGTTCCCGCACATGCACCAGCAATAGATGCCATTATCCTCAAAATGCGCAGATCATTTACTCTAGAATGGCTAATTCAAGACAGCATAAGAAATCCTTTCTTAAGTCTACAATTGTTAGAATAAGCACTTAGGAGAAGTTCCTAAAACACAATTTACAGGTTTAAAAAAAAAAAAGGCAGATTTGAGATTTGACTACTCCGGGAGACATTTAAGAATAGTCACTCTTAAGATCTGCTACATATAAGAAGTTGATCTTTCAATTTGTATTTGTGGTTATGATCACCTAATTATTTTCTCTTATTTGCTGCATACACCTGGAAAATGTCCCTCCCAGAACTGCAAAGGAAATAAAGTAATGTATTAGGAAGAGGAAATGACACAGGTTCCCAGATGAGACTATACCAACATCAAAGGCTCCAGTATCAAGGCCAGCATGGCAGTAAAGCAACCTGCATCCTTCAAACAGGCCAACAGATGAGAGAAACATGTCAAGAAGCTCGAGTCCCATGCAGCATTCCGGCCAGGTTTTCACAAATGTCAGTAACTTCATAGCTAACTTTAATCCAACGAATGATGAAAGTTTACAAAGGAAATAAGATGTTAACAATCAATTGAACCTTTCTTCTGTGAGAAAATATATAGCTTAATTTCTCTGAACAAAGAAGATTAAGAGTAACTCAGCATTTCATTTTAAAAACATAAAACAGTATTTTTATCTAAAAACCTACTGAATAACTTTATAATTTTCAACTTCATATTAAATAAAATATATTTACCAGTTAATTACCAAATTATTGGTTTTATGAAACCTTACAAGCGTTTCCTCTATCTCACTATACTATAAAATAAGGCTAAACCACTACAGCATCTCTTTATGTTTTCCTGGGGAAACTTTCTTTCAAGGTAACTTAAAATGTGTTGATTGCATTTTTATGGTACTAATAAAAATAATGATCCCTTAGCCTCTACATCTGTTCTCTGAGAGGCGATAGACTTGCCATGTCATTCTAACTCTACCTGAAGGACCTTGAAACAGCAGACTAGATATTAAGATTTGCCCTTCTGGATCATTCCGCTGGCAAACTAAATCACAAGTATGAAAAATGAATTTACCTTCAAAACACCGCTTAAAACACTGCACTCAGAGGAGCTGTTACAGAGTGAATCACCCCCTCACATTCTGGCTCTAAATCCAACCCACAGGCTCGTGCCAACCACAATCCCTCTACAACCCTCCATTTCGCTGCATACCTGTGGGGCTTGGCGGGCTGCCGGCGCTTCCTGCTCTTGCTACTAGAGGCCCTATCGTTGTCTCTAGGGTTTGCAGACCTTCCAGTATGAAAGTAAATCTTACCCTTGCCCAGTATGGCAGACAGTCTCATGACACTTAAAAGTCCTTCCCCCTCTCAAATAGCAGTAAGTCTGTAAACTGTCTGACATGCTGATCTGTATTTGTCAATAAGGCGTCTTTCAGCAGGATTAATTAGCCAGACATGAAGGCTTGCAAAGGAAGAGGGTAAAAAACATGAGCATTCACGACATTTCCAGTTCCATGTTTTCCCTTCTTAGTGGACCACAGCATATTTTAGAGATGGCAAGATTGTTGGAAAACTAAACTCTGCCCTGAAAGGATGAAATGTCACTATTACTTTTAGGTATCATAAGTCTTTTCCTGAGTTTTTAATAAAAATGTTGCACCCAATTTCTCTCACAAAAGCATATTCCTAAAAAAAGAAATCCTTCCAAAGAAAACCCATCTTTGTGAAACTTCGAGGGTAAATTCTGAAACGACTGTTTTAGGTGGGCAGCCCACACTGCCCAGTCTGTCCCAAACAGGCCGGGTTTATGCCTGTTGTCTTACTGTGCTTCACAGCATCCTCTTTAATTCCCAGAAGTCTCCCAGACTGGACAATATGATACTAACTCACCTTAGCTTTAGGGTGTATCTCCTTTAACATGAATACAGCCACGTTTTACCCAGAATAGCTTTGCATCTTTTAGAACACCATCCCAAGAAAAGTCTTTCCTAATAATAATGCCCCTACTTTCCCTCGACTACAGTGAAGGACAAAAGGTCTCTGCGCTGCTCCCGTCCCTGACTAACTTTACACTAAAACACGCCCCTGAAACACCCTTCTCTCACACGGCTGATGCCCACCTAGCAACATAGGCTTTTCATGGCTGTCAACAGAATATAGCCATTCCCAAATCACACACACAACCTTCGCTTCCTGTATCACAAAACAAAAAGAGAAAAAGAAAGCTTTCTTCAGTTTCCAAGAGGTGTACTCCTCATTGAATACTCTCCCACAAATATTTTTAACTGTCCTACTTGTCCTCTACTAAACATCATCAAATCAGCACATTTTACAGGTAGAAAAGACACTCTCCCTCTCTCAGGAGGAGGGTATCACTGAGGCAACAACCTGATCAGGTTATCCCAGACAAGTCATCTTCCAAGGGGACTGGTTCTAGGAGAATCACACTGGGCACTCAATGGAGACCCTGGGCCTGAGGGTCCCAAACATTACACAGAACACTGGGTATAAGTTAATGAACTTCACTTTTAAGTCAATGGGAGCCACCATGAAAAACAAAGAAGTTAATCACTTCTCAATACAGTAGAACCAAAAGAAAAATATATTTAAGTGCATCAACCCACCCAGTGGATGGGAACTTGTTGCTCCTGCCAAGTCAAGATGGGACTTTACTGCAGTAGCTCCATGTCAATATGTCTGTCAACATAGGACATCTGTGCATAGGTCCCTGAGAAACGGCGCTGCAGCGAGATGGCCACCTCCCACGTTTAGTTTCAAAAAGCGCCCTCCCCTAGTAAAATCTCCTACTTAGGAAAGAGAGGAAGAAATAGTATCTAGTCAGTGATTTTACTTGTATATAAACCAGACCTAAGCTGAATCAAACAAATCTAATTACCTATGTTTAAAGACTCCCCCATCCCTGGTCCCCAAATCTCTTTTTTTTTTAATTCCAAAATCTTCCCTGAAAGAAAACCAGCAAGAGAAATCCAAAAATCCAAACATGTATGTATTTTTAATCTTCATAAAAATTCAACAATGACTTAACAAAGGAATAAAACAACAGATTAAGCATTATTAAATAAAAGTGATTAAAAGTACAAAAATTGCTTTGGTTTAAACTCATGTTATCTTAAAAGATATCAAAAAGACTAACACTGCCTTAGATTTTTTTTTCTGGGTACACGACTAAACTTTTAAAGCCAGTCTTGAAATTAACTGTCTAAAAGTCAGATGCTGCTACAGAAACTTAATAAGCAAGGCATTCTTATCCTAAAGAATACAAATTCTGAGCATTCATCATACCACATTTCATCAAATCTAAGATGTCACTAATTGTAGGAGGAATCATTCATTACCTTATACATCACTAAGAAAGAGAAAAAGCTTTCAATTAGATGCAAGGTATAATCAATCCAATATCATGCACCAAATATGAGTTATGTTAAAATGTGAAAAAAAAATAGAATCTTAGAATTAATGAAATATTCTCAAATTCCTATGTCCATTTTTTTTGTAATGTAAATATGATTTATAGCCTTCTGCAATCAAAATCGTTGAAATGAAAAAATAAAATAAAATCTCTTACCTTCCGTACTACACTCAGGAAAGCTATCAGTGACGGAATCCAAATAAGCTTCAACAGGACCAATCAGTTCAGAACCATCATTAATTATTCCACCCTAAAAAGATCAGAGTAATTGTGATTCATTATCAAAAAGAGTATTATTAAAAAATCAGTGATAAATGAAAACTACTGTAATCTCAACTGAGTATGCATAAGGACTACAAAAACTATTCATCTATTAAACTAGATTACAACTGATTTTTTTTAAACCAATAGAAATACCAACATTGGTTCATCAACTTTAACAAATGCACCACACCAACACAGTATGTTAACCACAGAGAAACTCTGTTAGGCAGGCAGTGCACATACGCGAAGGACTTTCCCATGAGTAGAGGGACTCTATACTTCCTGCACAATTTTTCTGTAAACATAAACTGCTCTAAAAGTAGTCTATTATTTAAAAGTTCAACAGGAATATTATGTTTATAGTAATACATGGCTTTTTATAAAGGCTTTTTTTTGGAAATCTCTCAAAAGTACTCATTAAAAAATGCAGAAAGAGAAAAACCAACCGTCTGAAGAATACTGTTCAGAATCCTTACTGACTGGTCATTCCAATTAGTGATAAATGACGAACTCCATTAGTAACTCACTTAATTTTCTCAAATTAAAAACTGCAATATATCACACAGCACCTCAGGAGATCCCAGAAGTGACTTAAATTTGAAAACCACTTAAATACAATATAAGGCAAACTAAATAAATTTAAAATATTTTTATTAAAGACACACAATGTTAATAATTTAAAATTGATTTCTCAATGTGAACATTATGTAATTCTATATTTAAGTTTGCAAATTCAAGCCTCAAAAGACTAGGTTCTCTTACTCACATGTAACTAGAGAATGCTATTATCAGGCAAGTAATAGTGATGTGATTTTCTGCCACAGCGTTGTGCACTGCTCCAATCATGAATATATGAGCTTATAATTTTAAATATTATAACTAATTAAAATAATAGCTCTTCTACTCCCTAACATCTCACCTTCTACCTTCCACCGGCAGTTCTATGCTCCCAAACACTACTTCCAGAATAGCAAAACCCAAGAGAAATAAAAAATGCCAATTTCCTCTCCCTGTCAACACAAAGGATTTAACCACTATCTTTACCTAATCAAAAGTCTCCCTGCCAGCTTATCTTTATGAGAAGTTTGAAATGATCCTTCTCAAATTACAAAATTTAACTTCCTAGATTATTAAATGAACTAAAGCTTTAAAAACAAATATTCTTTAAAAGCAAGAGTTTATATTACTTTATTCTATTTTTTTATTAAAATATTCAAATTGCAGTTTACAGCTAAATTTTTCTCCAAAAAAGAGTATCTATTCTAGACAAAGCCATCCTTTGACCTTCAAAATTAAATTTTAAGAAAATATTCAAATATTCTTGAGAATTTTAGTAAACAAAGTTGATTTTATTTATAATCTCACTTAACAGAAAGTGACTTTCAACTATTAACCTCTTCTACCACTATCTTAAATGGAAATGATGCCTATAAGTAACTCAAGGAATTGTTAGGTCTAAAATATTTCATACATGTCAAGTTTATAGAACAATGTAAGTACTCAAGACTTTTTGTTATTATTATTAAAAACTGATATAAGATCTACTTATAAAATAAAAACAAAAAACTAAAAATGAAAAAATGTTTCAGCTAATAATCCTGAAGAGATCCTATTTACCTAATTTAACAAACACTATAACACAAAATAACACTACACAAAATAAAGAATAAATCTTTAATGTAACAAAATAATAATGAAAACTTGTCTAGGCACTATAGGGAAGTAATAGGAAAATATGGCACAATTGCATTTTAAATCTCTAATTAAAAGATTAATAACCTTATAGTGTTACTGATTATATAGTAAAAAGAAACTCGTATTACATAGCATCTCAGTGGTTTTGTTAATGAAAGTCATTCTAAAGGGGAAGGAGTTCAGATATGGTAGAGTAAGCAGATCAGCAAATATTCTCCCAAAAGACAATAATATAACTAAGGAAACTGTCAAAACAACCACTGGAGAGCTCTGGAACTTTGTCAAAAACATAAAGCAAATGAAGAAGTGGTTACTCATGAAAAACTGCAAAACCACAGGTAAGAGCTGTGGGAGTCTATGGCATTCTGGCCTGGGATTGCTACCATCTTCCATCCCAGCTGGGTTGCCATGGTAATTATTCAAGGGCAAGGCAAGCTTTGAAAACCAGCAGATTCACTTGCAGAGGAGGCTGGCATGATTTTGATTGAAGCACAGGAAAAAAAAATCTACACAAAACAGCATTATCAGTAATAGTAGCGATCTCAGTGCCAAACAAATGGCAAGGAAGTGAGTGGCCCAGCAAGCATCAGTAGTGGCAAGCAAAGGACCAAAACATTATTAGTTAGACACTGACCAGGGAGAGCCAAAAATAACACAGCCATAAGGGTTCTTAATAAACTCTCTACCCATCCAGGTAGGAGAAACCAGAGAGGGATCACACAGTCTACAAATCCCCAGCAAACCATGCGCATGCACAGGGCAAGTCCATGATAACCCAAAGGAAAGGAAAACTCAGGACAAACATAAAACTGCTTGAACTTTGAAAACAAAGAATCATCAGCACAAGGGAGCGGCATAAAGAGAGTGTTTGAGTACAAGCAAAGACCAAACACTGGCTGTCCACTAAACTGTAATGATACAGAGCTAATCCCTACTAAACCAGGTTTAAAAATACAAAAACACAAAAGAATGTAATAAACACTCAGTATAGATATCAGCAGTCACAAACTATACAGCAAACAGACTCCACGGATTTAGTACAGACATGTTAACAAACATACTAACAAAATAATGGCAACAACCTTCAGGGGGAAAAAATCAGAACTCAAAGTTGCTATAATATATTAACCAAAATCTCCATTTAAAAAAAAGAAATAAGACATACAAAGTAATAGGAAAGTGTGAACTCTATTCAGAGCAGGGGGGAAAAGCAGTCAATAGAAACTAATTCTGAGAAGGCAAAAATGTTGGATGTAGAAGGCAAAGACTTGAAAGCAGCTATTTATAAATATGTTCAAATAACTGAAGGAAATCATGACTAAAGAATTAAAAGAAAGTATAACTCTATAGCTCATGAAGTAGCAAATACAAATAGAAATTATTTTTTAAAATGAAGCATTAGCGTAGAGCCAAAAGTGATGACAATCCATTTGTCCACCAAATGATGAATGGATAAATAAAATGTGGTATATTCACACCCACTTAATGGAATGCCATTCAGCCACAAGAAGAAACAAAGTACTGATTGATACATGCTACAACATAGATGAGCATTGAAAACATTAAGTTCTGTGAATGAAGCCAGACACAAACGGCCACATATTGTATGATTCCATTCCTGTGAAGTGCCCAGAATAGACAAGTCCATCACTATGGAAAGTAGGTCAGTGTTTGCTAGGGGTTGGGGCATGTGGGGAAGAAGTGAATGCTGATGGGTAAGAAGTTTCTTCATGGGGTGATGAAAATGTTCTGAATCAGGTAGTAATAATGGTTGTATAACTTTGTGTATATACTAAAAATCACTAAACTGTAAATTTAAATTGGTGAATTTTATGTTACGTCAATTAATCTCAACTTGGCGGGGCGGGGGGCGGGTGAGAGAACCAGATGGAAATTCTGGAGTTGAAAGGTATTATAACAAAAATTTTAAATTCACTAGGAGTTCAACAACAGATTTGAGAGAGAATAACCAATGAACTTGAAGATCAAAAGAAACTCTCCAATCTGAAGATCATAGGGAAAAAAGACCAAATAATAATCAAAAGAACCAGAATGAAATGTGGGGAAACACCAAGCACACAACTTACGTGTGATGGTGATATCCAGTGTAAGAGAAAGGGGCTGAAAATGAAACACTCGAAGAGATGAAGGCTGAAAACTTCCCAAATCTGACCCCAAAAACCCTTAACTCTACAAGTTCAAGGAGATACATTAAACTTCATACAGATAAACAGAAAGAGATAAACACCTGGACTAACACTGTTGAAAGACAAGTCTAAATTATGAAAGAAGCAATTAAAAAAAGACACAGTGGAACAATTGTTTTTACTCCCCAGACCAACCAATAATAATTTAACTTAACAAAAAAAAACTCCTAAAAAAGAATTTAAAGCATACAACGATCATTATCTATTTAATACAAAAGGTGGCACAAAGGAAAAACAAAAATATACGAGACAACAAATAGCAAAATGGTAGATAAATTGAATCATACCAAAACTACTTCAAGCACAAAAGGACTAAATACTCCAATCAACAACAGCAATTTTCTGACTGGATACAAAAAATAAATAAGGTCAAACTATACAGTGCATGTGAGGGATACACTTTATTCAACAACGCAGAGACACTGAGAGCAAACGAATGAAAAGAAGGTACCATGCAAATAATGACTGTAAGAGAGCTAGAGTGGTATATTAAAATCATACAAAGTAAGGCTTTAATAAATATTGCTAGAGGCAAAGAGGGACACTGCATAAGACTAAGCAATGCAATTCAGCAGGAAGACATATCCATTATAAACATACATGTACATGCCAAGAGAACCCCAAAATAAAAATTTACATACCTGAAAGAAATGAGTTCAACAACAACAACTGAAGACTTCAATACCTCACTCCCAGTGATTGAGAGAATTAGAAAATTAGCAAGGATATAAAAGACAAACAGAACTATCACCTAACTTGAACTAACTGACATTTATAAAACTCCACCTGACAATAGGTTATACGTATACTCCTTTCTGGCACACATGGCACATTCTCCAAGACAGATCATATGCTGAGAATAAATCAGGTCTCAATAAGTTTAAAAGGATCAAAATTATACAACATATGATTTATGACCACAACCACAAGAAAACAGAATTAGAAATCAACAATAGAACAAACCTTAGGAAACCTATGACTATTTGGAAAATAAAGAACATATTTCTAAATAACCAATGAATCAACAAAGAAAATCACAAAAAAAAATCAGAAAATACACTGAACTGAATAAAAATCAAAACAAAACATAGAAATTTATAGGATTTGAGGCTCAAGCAGTCCTAAGAGGGGTACTTATAGCTGTAAATGCTTCTGTCAGACAAGAAAAACCATCTCAAATCAATAACTTAAGCTTCCACTTTAAGGAATTAACAGATTAGATAAAGAGCAAAGTAAATCAAAGCAATCAAAAGGAAGGAAATAAAGTTCAGAGTATAAATCATGAAATGAAACAGAAATATACAGAAAAATCAATAAAACCAAGTTGGTCCTTTGAAAAGATCAACAAAAATATGAAATTTTAGCTACACTAAGAAAAATATAGACAAGACACAAGTTATCAAAATTGTGAATGTAAGACAGACATTACTACCATCCTTACAGAAATTAAAAGTATTAGAACAATTTTAGAACAATTAGAAAAGTATGAACAATTTTATGCCAACAACTTTGAATTTCAATCAACAGATAAAAAATTCTGGCTACATACTGATAATTTTTGGAGCTGAGTAATGAGTAATGGAGGCCCATTACACTACTCTTTCTGCTCCTGTATGTTTTTAAAAATTCAAATCAAGTGGCTATATGGTTATTTGCATGTGATACTTATGACTGTTTCTAAAAAGAAAAAAAAGACACCTTTGTTGTTATAGCACACCCTGCGACGCAGCAACCCAAAAACCTCCCGTCCATACCTTCATCCACAATCAAAACTTAGATAGCTAAAGGAGTCACCTGCCCAGACTTCTCTGAATTTAAGGATTGTCCTGTGACCCAGTTCTGGCCAATGAGATATTAGGACTGTCTCTAGGTAGAGTTAGCTTCATTTTTCTTAAACTGTCCAATCTTTTCTTCCTCTTATTTAGTTCCTCATTTCACAAAGCCTAAAAATAAGTGTCTTCCAGCAGCAGTTACAATCAGGAATTCCCAGATCCAAAAGAAATATAATAAATAGGTACTTTTACTTAAACTGTCCAAAGTCTATGATCTGACTTCTACATCCCTAGACCAGCAATTTTCAATCAGTGTGCTGCAAGAATTTTTAAAATATGCAATACCTGACTATTTAGGCGGGGCACTGACATCTTTTCCCTTAGATTGTTTGAAAAAAAAAAACAAAACAAAAGACAACAGTCAACACAATAGCCGTCTGGTATGAATTAATCAAAATTAGACCTGTATTTTTTGTCAGGTCAGCAAAAAAAAAAAAAAAGTAATATACTTTTTGGTGTGCTGCAGAATGGTAGTAGTTAGTTTCTGTGTGCCATGAGATGAAAAAGGTTGAAAATCACTGCCCAGACTGATTTTATTAACCCTTGGTTTGTGTTAATTTGTATGTCTTGCCTTTCACAATTTCTATAAAGCAATCTTCTTCTTGCAAAATAATGTTGCCTTTTTCTATTAAGGATAAACTCCACATTAGTTACAGCTTTACCTAAGAACAGCAAAGAGCTAAATATTTTATCATTTTGACTTGGCCTTTGATCCCAAAGATCTGCCTTAGGTCACAAGTAAAGCCAAATTCATCATCATCTTGGCTTAGTCTGCAGAGTAACAAAAAATTAAGCAACAAAGTCAATCAGCAGGAATTTTATGTTTCTATAAATTTTTCTATCACTATTTCTATTTCTATTGTGTATTGTATAAGTTTGTAGTAATAGTTTTCAAACGATCAACTTTCTTCAGTAAACTAAAATAGGTCATAAAAAATAAATACCTTTTGTAGATCCACTAGCATCAGGAAAATTAAGAATCCCACTATTCATATACCTTGCTAGCTATTTGTTCTAAGAAATTACTTTTATACAAATAAGTAACTTTTTAATTAAAGAAGGAGAGAGCCAATTATGACACAATCACCTACCTTTTTTCTAGAAGGCTAAATACAATAGGAAAACTGTGATCATTAAAAACACTGATAACTGACAACCTGCACAGGTTCAGTTGAGAATAAATTTTAAAATAATTATAAAAAATTAGAAAGAACTCAGAATGAAGGCATTACATGTCAAGAAACTTATACAAATAATCAATGACATCTGGTAATATAATGTGTACTAACTTCCCTCTCTAAAACTGTGTAACTATTTTTGTTCTATCTTTGAATAAAGTAGTACAATTACAAAAACATGTAAATAGACTTGTAGTGGTTTCCATCTCCCCCCCACAAAAAAAGTCTACCACTAAAAGACACCTCAGATAGCTACTGGATTTTCATGATTCTTAAAATTACTTTTAGTATATTTCAATTATGATGGAGTGAATCATATAATCGCTAAGCCCTTTGCATCAATTTTTTAAATCTATGAATCAAAAATCTTACATACTTCTACACTAAAAATAAAAGGTATGCCACAGACATTGTTATTAAACTACAAACTTCTACTTATTTTGGTGAATAATGAAATTCAAAAGTCAATGACATTTTCTACTTTTTAAAAAAATTGAAACTTGTGTTACTGCTCAGCAGAAGGCATGGGTATTTAACAAAATACTAAGTATTTCAGAAAGACCTCCAAACCTTGAAAAAGTCTTCAAGCTGTTTACTGTTGTAAAGAGCAGGAATATTGGCAGAGAACTGCAGCAGGTCTTCGGCACACTGTCTCCGCTCTTCAATGACAGTTTCATCAAACCGCCCTGGAATTAAATAAGAATCAGCAGGAATAAAGAAGGATCAAACACCTGTTTATGACAACTCGTGTTCACAGGGCAGAAAGCAGCAGCAGACCTATCACTGCCTATTTGCCGTGTTTGTTATGCCACCTTCCGAGGTCAAACCCAGGCTCCACAACCGGAATCTGCAGCATTCTCACCAGAGAAGAAAATAATGTTCCCGATAAAACAAGAGACGGGGATGTCAACTCGTAAGTAAACAGTGCCATCAGCATCTCAGGCCTGTCAGTATAAGAAACGTACCATGTAAGTAGCTGGTGATCTGAAACTAAAGTTGAAAGGAGAATTATAAAGAACTCAAACGGTTTTCCATAGTAATTTAATACTGTAATTACTCATGATTTTCCTCTCACACTTTTTTTATTTACGAATGAATTGAAGAGAGGAGATTATGAGAACATCTGTCTATGAATGGGGTCAAAAACCTCGGTTTGAAGCAAAGAGCTGCTTAAGCTGAATTCCACGTGTGATGCTGTCAGCGTACGTAAAAGTGCTCGGGAGAAAAAAGAGAACACACGGCACCAGTGAGCTGTTCTACAAGGCGACAGAAAGGTGGTTTTCATAGAACTTTTTAATAATATATGCAATTCGAATGCTGATGAGGCATTTTCAAATATGACCATGCCTACTATTCTCAAATCAGACTATCAGCTGGCATCTGTCATATGCCATGTATTATACTAATAGTGATGTAGGTTTAAAAAATTACGAATTTAAGAGTAGCAACACCACATATTTAAACATTTACAGTAGCTCTGCAAAATGTTAACAGAAAACTGAGGCACAAAGAGATTCCTAGTTATATTACTCTAGGCAATATTTGAAACTGAACCACTAGCTACCTCAGCTCAATGTGTCTCACACTTATGGTGAAATGTCTGCTTCGTGGTAACTAAAAGAAATGGTTTTAGAGTTGGACCTGGATTCGAATACTAGCTCTGTCTTTCACTAGCTATAAAATCTTAGGCATATTATTTCCTAATTTATAAAGTGAAGAAAATTAAGAATGTACTAAAGCCTCTCAGTTCCATGCCAAGCGTATAGTAAGCACTTAAAACATTAATCATGGTGTTGTTGAATCTTCAAGTACCACCACAGTGTCTAGCACATAAAACATGCTAATAAACTTGTGTTGACTGCATGAGTGAATAATGAAAACTTAGAAAGCCTTTTCTAACAAAAATAACTGTCTTACAGTAGGAGAGTCTATCCTAGAATACCAATGGGTCCATAAACAACTCCCAAGTCTTAATGCATGGGTTTCAGAGACAACAATCCTACAAAATTCCTTGTATATGTATGTCCACAGCTATGTTTTCCAAGGAAAGGGTTTGTAACTTTTACCAGCATTCTCAAAGAGCCCAGGGTCCAGTAAAGGTTAGCAGGCAAGTGGCAGAAGATTTGAGGATTCCTAACATCCACTATAATGTTTTATTTACTATGGATTCAGGTGCCAGTTGCTATCTCAGTATCTGCTCTCACCTTCTTCCTTAGTAAAATAATTCCCAGTTTCTAACCATGCACGTAACAGTCCACACACACACACACACACACACACACACACACACACACAAAAGGCTATAATTTCCAGCTTGCCTTGCAGTTACACTCAGACATGGATTTAGTTCTTATCAATAACACATAAACAAAAGTTACATTGCAGATTCCCAGAAATCTCTTTAAGAGAAATATATTCCTTCTCCCCCCTCCCTTTTCTTCTTTCTCCTTTTCCATTCCCAAGGATTATGAAATGGAAGGTAAGAAATGACAGAGCAACGGTAGGAGCTCAGGCTCCTGATCACTGTGCAGCCCGCCTGCCTGGAGCCACCTCCAGATCGCCTGCCAGGAAACTGAAACCGATGTCTGCCGGGCTTTAGGTTTTGTCACAAGTAACCATACCTTATATAATCCATTATGCTGTATATGTTTTTCTATTAGTTATCAGTTTATATGCAACAATTCAATTAAGCTCAATTATCCCAAGGACAAAAGCACATCTAAAATGACACTGCTAGCTTAACTATCAATAATATCATTGGAAAACAAAAATGAAAACCCATAGAGCAAATACTCAGCCTGAAAACAATCTAAGTTATTCAATCTTGGAGAAAATCCACTGACTGAAAAGGTTAAAATGACAGCTAAATGCTCACTATTCCTCTTCCTTAAGAAATTAAATATGCATTGGTACTTGTAATTTTTGTCCATCATATTTATCATTTACACAAAAAGGTAAATTCTAGTGCCTGCAAATTAATATTAGTAATTTTGTGGACATCTAAAATTTTAGAACAGAAACTCAGAAAATGCACACATTATATTATGTTTCAACCCATAAGACCACCTGACATTATCTTTAAATGCATAACTACTGAGAAATTTTAATGAAAAGCTTCCTAATATTTGATGACATCCTTAAAAATCTTACTAGCAAAAACAAATACATAAAAATGTGGGAGCTTTAATCCTAGTGTGATCTATGACTCATCCCATCTCCCCATTGAGCTAGACTAAAATGCTAAAGCAGTAAGTATTATCAACTTCTAAACAGAATACGTATGCAAAAGCATGACTCTTGTACTTCTATTGATCTATGCATTTCCATTCTACTAAACTTGGGCAAGTGGAGATGAATGGAAACATTTTTCAGAGTGGAACACAACTGAAAATAAAGGCTCATGCATTAAAACGTTCAATTACACTGTATCCTATCATCAAAACAAATATAAAAGAACATGCTCACTTCTTTGTTCCTAAGATATTTCAGAATAACAAAAAAATTAGTATTGGTAACATAAATAGACAGTAGATGAATTTTAATGCAATAACTATTGGCCCTAATATAGCTAACAAAACCACCTAGTTTTAAAAAAAAGTTAAAAAGCAGCCAGAGTCAACCGTCATCCTAATGGCAGACAATACCCTACTAGCTATTCTCTAGTTGTTAACCCTTGAGGGCAGCACAATGAGAAATCATAAACAGGTGCTTTAAATTTCCATTCACATGGTCAGTGTTTATTTTCCTGTGAACACAGTAGGAAAATTATACACAATTTACAATAGAAAATGCAAAACAAATTTTTCCTGATAAACTTTATGTGTGATATTATACATTATATATTAAATTATTTGTGTGTGTATTACATATAAGCCACTCCACCACTCCTAATTAACTGATAATAGTTCATTAAAAACTGGGGGAAGGTAAATTAAAACATTTTAACAAAACTGGTAAATCACTGGAAATAAAATCTCTCTGATGTATAAGCTGCCTTTGAGATCTTCTCTGTTTTCTGTTGTGTTTTTTTATTATATATAACAACTCCTAGAAAACAGAGCTTACGATTTTTTTAAATGCGAAACTGGTCACATAGAACTAAAAGTTATCCTTAACCAATAAGAAACTAGCCAGAGCCCTAGCTGGTGTGACTCAGTGGATTTAGCACAGGCCAGCAAAGGAAAATAAGGTCGGCAGTTCGATTCCCAATGTAGGGCACATGCCTGGGCTGTAGCCCAGGTCCCCAGCAGGGGGCACGTGAGATGTAACCACACATTGATGTTTCTCTTCCTCTCTTCTCCTCTTTAAAAATAAATAAATACATACATACATACATACATACATAAATCGAATCTTTAAAAAGATAATTTTTAAAAAGGGCCAAAGAACAAAATTTAAAAAAAAAGAAACTAGTCAGAAAAGCTTGATGCTGATTCTTAACTGTATCAAAAATTCATTCACAGAGTAAAAAGAAAAACAGAGAGGCCCAAGTTCTCAGGTGTGAATTCCCTGCAGTCAACAGCACCAAGAATACACTTCTTAATTAAACAAGTTGGATTTATTACTCCTTGCAACTAGGGAGACTACATACTATTGGGAACTCCAGGGCGTTTTACTAAGAAGTGTCAGAGAGGGCTTACAGGATTCGGGCTTGTGTTGGGTGCTTCTGGGAAAGGTTCAAAGGAGTGACACTTTGCCCTGGTTTGATGCTGTCAGGAAGGGGGTTTGGAGGGTAATTCTTTGATTTTATGAATTCTACCTAATTCTATGATTTAATAAATCTTACTATGAGGCAAAGAAGAGGAAGATACGCTAAGGCTGTGATTTGTAAAAAAGCTGTGTCATTCATGGTAGCCAGGATGAAAACATACATGATCATTTTTGTGACTTGAAGAAAGCTTATGTTTTTGCCTGTGTTCAGACATGATCACAGTGATCTTGTTTTGGTCTTGATCCAAGGACACTCAGTGGCTTTGTCTAACGTACATGTTCTGTGAAACTGTTTAGGTTCAACAGGACAACACAGCCTCGTGTGAACGCCAGGTCAGCTCTAAGTAATGCCGAGGTCAAGGTAGTGCCAGGCCAGTTCTTTCTTCGCTGTCAGAAGCTGCTCTTCTCCTTCTCACAGGAAATCACAGTGTGAAGATAGACGTAACAACAACAAAAAAGTGATCTCATCATGAGAAAACAATCAGATTGAGACTGTGAAACCTACAAAACAACTGTCTTATACTCTTTTACAATGTCAATGACATCTCAGAAAAAAATGCACAAGGAATACTCTGACTTAAAGGAACAAACCTAAAGGCATGATCCTGGATACAAAAGAAATCTAAAAAGATATTTTTAGGACAGTTGGGGAAATTTGAATGTAGACTGCGTATCTGATCATATCGTTATCAATGTTAAATTTCTTGAGTGTGATATGGTATTGTGGATATAGGCAAAATATGAGAAGTAGGGATAAAATGTCACAATATCTGCAACTTACTCTCAAATGTTTCAGGAAAATAATGAGATACACACAGAACATAACAGACAAATGTGGCAAATTGTTAACAATCAGTGAACTTGGGCAAAAGGTATGTAAGTGTTCGTTACTATTCTTTTGCTTTTTTCCTGTAAATTTGAAAATTTTGCAAACTAAAACAACTGACGGAAACTCAGTTAGTTGCTACATGGGTAAGAAGTAGAACTGAAAGGGGAAACAACTAACTCAGTTTAAAGGAAACAGAAAACTTCATGGAAAAGGAGTCATATAAAAGTCTGGAAAACTAACCAAGAACTCCACAGTGGAGCGGTGCAACACTCTAGAAAGAGATACAAGAGCGTATGAATGTTAGAGGAATGGTAAACTGAGCAACAGATAACATAGCTAACAATAGCTGATATGTGTCAAGCACTGAACTAAACACGCACTGCAGCCGTAATCCTCAGAAAAGGAAGGTATTATCCCTAGGTTACCAATAAGAAAAAAAGACTCAGATGTTAATTTGTATAAGATCACACCACTCGTAAATAGTGGACAAAAGATTTGGGCCTAAATCTATCTGATTCCAAAAGGTATGGTCTTTTCACTAGAACTCTAGAACAAGAAATATGTATCTGTTGGTTCTGCAAATAATTGCATTGGGCAAAAAGTCCATATGGTTTTTTATATAAAATAAAGGACCTATTTTTCATTTTTACCAATAATTTTATTGATTTGGATATTCTGAGTATTTTGGCTATCTCCTGCAAGGTAGGATGTTGATTGTTCTCAATTAAAGTCTCCATTTTGACTGCTATCAACTTCAACTGGTCTACCCTACCATGGAGCATTATCCAGTGAGAAATCTCCAGCACAAAAGTTCACAAACCATTTCTGACATGTTCGATCAGTCACAGCATCTTCTCCATACACTGCACATATCTTTTTTTGAGTCTCAGTTACATTTTTTTACCTTTCTTGAAATAATAAAGCATAATATGCTGAAAATGTTGTATGTTTTCTTCCATCTTCAATATTAAAATGGCTACACAAACATGCACCAATTTTGGTGGGGTTTTTTAAAATACAAGCTGAAATGACAGCTGTCACAATTCAATCCAATAAAATTGTTTCAAAATAATGTTAAAGACAACTAAGCATTACTAGAGCCATCTTACAGAAAAAACCAAACAAACTTTTTGGCCAGCCCATCATAACAGGACTGTTTTTGCTGCTGAGGCTTACACACTGAAAATGTGAGAGCAGCTAAAAAGACAGATGATTAACCAAGACTTCCCTCCACACAACCACAGCTGCTGCCTGCAGGGTTCACTGCGGTTGTACAGGATTACAAACGGACTGTACCATTTACTGAGAGTGAAAAATTGCCTACTTACTAAGATTAATAAGAAACTTTCACTCTATAATATGTAAGAATGAGGAGAAAAGTTGCTGATAATCTATCAGCCACAGACAACAATAGCTAAGAACCAATTTGGAAGCCACTCCCTTTCACCCAGTGACAAGCTTATTGTTTTAAAAGCCAGGCTGTGCATCAGAGAGATGCAAATTAAAACCACAATGAGATAGCACCTCACACCTGTCAGAATGGCCATCATCAATAAATCAACAAACAAGTGCTGGCGGGGATGCAGAGAAAAGGGAGCCCTAGTGCACTGCTGGTGGGAATGCAGACTGGGGCAGCCGCTGTGCAAAACAGCATGGGATTTCCTTACAAAATTAAAAATGGATCTGTCTTTTGACCCAGCAATTTCACTTCTGGGAATATATCCTAAGAATCTCAAAACACCAATTCAAAAGAACCTATGCATCTCTATGTTCACAGCAGTATTATTTACAACAGCCAAGATCTGGAAACAGCCTAAGTGCCCATTAAATAAATGAGTGGATAAAAAAACTGTAGTACATTTATACAACAGAATACTACACAGCAGTAAAAAAGGACTTCTTATCCTTTGCAATAGCACAGATGGAACTGGAGACTGTTATGCTAAGTGAAATAAGCCACTCAGTTAAAGACAAATATCATATGCCCTCACTCATAAGTAGAATCTAATGAACAAAATAAACTAACGAGCAAAACAGAACCAGAGGCACAGAAACATGGAACAAACTGACAGCTGTAAGAGGGGAGGGAGAAGGTGGTAACGGGTTGAAAGAAGGGGAAGGAACTAGTCCAAGAACATACATGCATGACCCATGGACATGAGCAATAGTGTGGGAACTGACTGTGGGAACGGGGGCAGGCTGGATGGAGAGGGGCAAAGGGGATAAAACCAGGATAACTATAATACCATAAACAATAAAATACTTAAAAATAAATAAAAGCCAAGCAGTGTATCTTCCAACATTAAAGATATGTGAGCACAGTTAAATTCTATTGCACAGAGTATTTAAGGTAAAAAGTAAAAACAGCCCTTCTCCCATGGCCCCAGAGGTTTGCACTTTATACAAACGTATGTAGGTACCTCTTCACACAAATATGTATGTCTCTTTAAACACAGAGGGGATCTTACTAAACACATTGCTTTGCAACACTTGTTTTCTTTATCTTAAAAATATACCTTGGACATATTTCCATACCAGTATATGTCAAATAACTGAAGAATTCTATGAATTGGCTAAGTTATAGCACATCTATACAATCACATATTGAGAAAATTCACTTTATTTTCAGTATTTTTCTACTGAAAATGCTGCAAGGAATACCCATGTGGAAGTACATATGTGTGTGTACAAATTTGTGTGTGCGTACGTGTGTTCTCAAAACAAAATCGACAGACTGCTGAGAGGCCCCCAACAGCCTTCCAAAAGATCAACAAGGTCAAAACCATTTTCATAACAATAAGACAGCAGCTATACCACACTGACATCTGCACTGATAATCTAAAATCAATGGCAGTAAAAACTGCTGGCCTCTTAGCAGGAATCAAAGCAATGGCACCAAACTATACTTACTGGTAATTATCATATTCCTTACTGCCACTCAATAGTATTAAAAATTTTTTTTACTGTCAGTTTCATTTAAGAATGTCCTTGATGAAGCAGTAAATTTATTAACTTAATTTATTAAATCTCAACCCTTGAGACCATGTCTTTTTAAAAGTCTGCGGGGGAAAAAAACAACTGTAATTATTCAGATTTGGATAGCTGGCTCTCCAAGTCTGCCTATTCAGTCTTGCTATCCAAGTCCGAATAGTTATAGTGAGGTTTTTAAAAAATTTCCTTTAGAGGTCTGTAACGTAATCAATTTTTGATATTATATAATAAATGGGTCAACATTTGCAAGAAACATACAAAGTATAAACATTAAAAATCAAAAACTTAAGATCTATAAGAATAATTCAACATCATCTTAAATTCTCACACGTTTTTTAACTGACTGGTTGGAGCTATTCTTACTGTGTTGTTATTTGACGGAAGAGCAAGTGCATTCTGAGTTAGCAAAACTATACCTAGAACATGAAAAACAGCTTCACGTGCTTGATGCTTGCTGCATGACATGAATTCTCATAACAAATAAAGGGGATTCTAACTTCATGGTACAGTACTGCAGGGTTCAGCATATATGCATAGTTAGCTAATCATCACGTTTTAAAAATCAGAAATTAAATATAATCACTTACCAAACACTATTCCTTTTGCAAATGGAGGAAATAATTCTGAATGTCGGAATAAGTTTTTGTGAATTTGCCATAGTTCTTTGTGTAGTTTCTTAAAGTCACTGTATCTCTTCCATATGATTATCTAAGAGAAAAAAATTAAATGTGTATCTTATAGTGAAACTATTTAGGTTCGGATATCTAAACATAATTGTTTCAATAAGTGCTCAAAATTGTCATGCAAAGGCAAACCTATATATGTTCTAACCAATATGCTTAACTGTGTAAAATTAACTTTTACTTTAAAAGTATAAAAAAGAAAATTTTCCTTTGTATTGATTTTTAAATTCCTTTTTAAACAAGACTATTTCCTTCATACTGGAAAAATATTCAACCTAGTGCAAAGAAGATCTACCTAAAATGTCATTTAACCTCTTCCAAAGCCAATTACTATTGGCCATGGAAATGAGCTAGATGTCAAAAATATATATTCTGTCTCAAAAACAGCATGTTTATAAATACAAAATATTTCATTCAGACCATTTTTAAATACAAAGTACATACTCAGCAGCTGCCTAAAAGGATAAACATAGTGAATAACACTGAAGAAAAAATAGCTATGTAGAAAGTAATTAACATGAACATCTTTATTTTATAAATCTCAATTTAAAATAGTAATAAGATTTCTGGGAGAAGATGAATCCTGATCAGAATACCATTCAAACTACTTCAAAAACAACAATCATCTAGATTATACAACATGTAAAAAAGTAAATTTACCTTCATTAGTTTTAATTATTGTTTAACCTCATTCAGATTAAATTAGAAAAAAACTTTATAAAGAATAAAGACTTGAACATTATATTGATATCATTGATTCACCCCTCAGTCTCCACAAAATGAATAAAACTGAGTTTTTAATTGTCATCTCATACATTGGGGCCTTTGGTAAAAAAAAAAAAAACCCTACTTACCTCACTTCTAACAATTGAATATTAGAGTGCAATGCTAATAAGCAAAGCTTTAAGACTCTTGTCAAAAATGTACTCTCTGCATTTATGTAATTTGTCACTAAACTTTGTCAAACTATCAATTTTACCATGATTAGTAAGTTTCTTGTTTCTAATAAAGATATAATCCTAGGGCACTAGTCAGACCATAATATGAATTTACTTAAGTAAATTGCTCTCCTGATGCTTCCTTTTATTCATTTACTCAACAATAGAAACAGTCATCAAAACAAGTATTTTCATGGCCCTACTTTGTGCTCGGCACTGCGTTGGAACAAAAGATGAAGAATTGAGAAACCCAGTCCCGTTAGGAAGGGTAAGCCAGCACAGTGAGCACATCACAAGAGCAGCGTGATAAACACTAGCAGGGGAGCCCAAGGGTGTTATGGAAGGAGCACGTAACTCAGCCTTGGGTATCTAAGAGGCTTTACAGAAAAAATTATCTTAGGTGAGCGACCTGAAGGGAAGTAGTGATTAGACCGACACAAATGAAAAGGGAAAGAAGGGGTTGTGGATGAAGTTCTTAAAAGGAGAGCGATGCCGAATACAATCACTAGAATTTTGGCTTTGCGATGGGATAAAGAATGATGCTACTCCTTAAGATGAAAAGCCATGGGAGAAGAAGCTGTTTTAGCTTCTGAGAAGAAAAGGGCAAAGTTCAATTTTAGATACATTTGATTTAGGTGTTTGTGAGGCACCTAACTGGAAATGTCCCATCACGTAGATGGGTTTGAGGTTCAAGAGCAAGAAGTAAGCAAAATGTATTAATTTGGGAGCATTGGCAAAGCAGCGGTAATCGCTCAGGACAGGTACCTCAGCATTTGCAAGGAGATGAGGAGCCTAACAACAGTATGACAGGGAACCCTAACCCGGGAGGGCCAACCAGAAGTGAAGACGAGAAAACCAAGCGCAAAGTGTTTAAGAAACTTGACTGTGCCATGAGAGAGGGCACATGATGGAAGAAGAAATTTTACTTTAAAATGGAAATGAATCAGACAAATGCTGAAGACAAAGAACCAACAGTTCTAGCAAAAGACAGAGAAGAACTGAGAGAACCAAACCAATACTTGAAAAGCGAAGTCCTCAGAATAATGAAATTACACTGATTTTAATTTTCATATTTTGTGCTTCTCTATAGTTTTTAACTTTGACACATGAACATAATTCTGCCATGAAAGAACATTATTTTTTTATTTTTAAAATAGATCAAATTATGGTAGTACCACATTGCCAAGGGCTTAGGGAGGAAATGGGTAACAGGCTTATAAAAATAATTTTACATAAGGCAATGCCATCCTTAAAGCCATGCTAAACTACACATGGGAGCTATTCAAAAGACTATTTAGCTCACGGAAACAAATCTGCAGGTAAAATGTATATTCTAATTAGGATCACTGTAAAATAAAGGCAGAGTAATTTAAGGGGCAAGAGTTAACAATTTAATCACAATAAAGATAAAGTAATGATAATAATACCATGGCATATAAACCAATAGGTTGTCAGAGCAAGAACTGTACTCCCAAGGATAGAATCTGCTTCTTTACCGTGTCCTAATTTATTCATTCACACATTCCTTATTCTCAGCACTGGACCCTAGAATTTAAATACCTAAGAGCAAATAGAAACCCTCAAGTATTGCGGGAAACCAAACCATCACAACATGTCACCATTCACTGACTCCTTTTCTTCTCACTCCTGTAAGCTTGGACATTTCTAGAAATCTTCAAAATGGAAAAGTGAACAGAAGCACACTTCCATTATATCAACAAGTATTAACATTTACAATTGGACTACACATAGTCCTAAAAGATACATGCAAAAGTTATTTTCTCTAATAATCAATATTTTTACTGTAAAAAAATCGTATAACAGCTATTGCTCTATTGAACCAATTCTACAGAAATTTATTCATTAAAGTTATGAATAAAATTCCTCAATTAAATATTAATTTAATTACAATAATATATAGACTACCAATTTAAAAAGCTTAATTTTTATTAAAAACAAAATTTACATAAAAATCTTTAAGATAACTTCATTTACTGATACTAAAAACTTTTAGATTTCTTATCTTTTATAAAACCATTCAATCCAATTAACTTTGTCCTTTTTACTCTTCTATAGCACTTAGAACTTGCTGATTTGCTTATGAATTTTCTTTCTTTTGACACATTTCTAACACCAGTAAAATTTACTACCTATAGAGAAACAGAGCTCTGTAGGTTACTTCTTTTAAAAGGCCGGGGAGGGAGGGCGTATTTCCATCTCTCTCTCTCTCTACTCGCTACAAGTATTCATGCTCTAGAGAATCTTCTGAAGGAGAAGCCACATGGACTGATGTTGCCCCACTTCAGATTCACCCATACTGCTCTTAATAAATAAAAATTTAGAGGAAATGTGTAACCACTAAGGGAGGGGAGGGGCTATTCTAAATAATTTTAAGTTACTTACCACATGTTAGTATTTAAGCATTCTTAGAAAGAAAATACTGCATGTGCTAAGGTATGTGTGCATGTATGCATATATGTATATATGTATAAACAAACAGCAAAATTTCTCTGGTTTTACAAGGACAGCAATTATATTAGCCCTATATTTGATTAAATTAACTAGACACCTACTAATCCTTAATAACCCTGTAAAGCCTAAATTCTAGAGCAATAATTAAATGAATTAGTTAATGAAGAGAGAAAGTAAAAGGAAAGGAAATGGAAACAACCCTTAGATTAATTCCTCTCCTAAAGGAGAATTCCAATGTTTAAATGAAACATATGGGAAACTAAAAAGTATTATTATGCCTTGGCTGGTGTGGCTCAGTTGGTTGGAGCGTCATCCTGTAAATCAAAAGATCGTGGGTTCTATTCCAGGTCAAGGTACGTGCCTGGGTTGCAGGTTTGATCCCACCAATTAATGTTTCTCTCTCACATTGAGTTTCTCCTCCTTTCTCTCTCTCCCTCTTCTCCTCTCTCTAAAATCAATGAGCATGTACTCAGGTGAGGATTAAAAAAAAAGTATTGTTATAATTTCAAGGTTATTCTATATTTTAAGAAGTCAGCTAGACAGAAGACATATTTTGATATTTTTATAGCATTTCTAACAAAGGACCATGCAATCATCTGACTAAAGGACACTTACAAGAGTTTTCTGATGAATGGTTCACCAACAGTTGTTATTATAAAAGAGTTTTCCCAAAAAAGGATTAAGGAAATGGCAGAGAGTATGTTCATGATAGGTTGGTTCAGGATTCTCCCTGGAAAACGGGAACATCAAGCTACAAACTACAGCACAGCGATCAGACAATATTTTCAAAAAGAAATGCAACCCATTTTCAATTTTAACAGAGTTGTAAATTTTCAAAAAGCATAAAACCCTGGTATTGACTATTAATTTAACATTCTACAGAATTCTAAATTCTAAAGAACAGTTCACACTAATCAAATGACACAAGTAGAGAGAGAGTACTGCAATCAATGGTGCCAATAACTTTCACTGCCATTTTAGGATATATAGATGCATATTCTTTTCTTCCAAAACAACAATATTACAATATTCTCTTCATGACTATTAGGGACAGGGGGTGCAAGATATCTTAAAACCCTAAGGAAAAAAACACATATTTTTTAAATATGTCCTTTATTGAACTATTTTTAACCATGGGGGGAAAAAACAAATACTATAATAGAGATATTAAGAAATAGTCATGTATTAAAGTCAATATATACTCTAAACCTGATGTTACATACTCAAACAAACCACTACCAAACAATCAACTTAAATGTACAAGTATGAATCAAGCCAGATTCTTCAGTAAGAAGTAGTAGAGCTTGTGGCAAAATAAAAGCACATACCCACCTAAAGACATTAAAATTCAATTTAAAAAAAAACAAACAATGTTGCAGATTTAAGACTGCCAACTTACAGTGTCTGTTTCTTTAGTTAAAAAAAAAAATCCCCAATATACAGTATGTCCTAATCTTAGTAAAAATGAGATTGGGGTAATCACTTCATAAAGTATATAAGTGTCTAATCAATGTTATGCACCTGAAACTAATATAATAATGTATGTCAACTGTAACTGGAAAATAATTTTAAAAAAGAAAATGAGTAAATATGAAAGTAAATCAAAAACTGTTCAGAGAAGTAAGCTCTTCAGATAGGATTCCTAAAGGTATATAAGTACAAAGTAATTACAAATAGAGGACCACAGTTTTAAGCAAAATATATAACAAAATGATATCATTTTAGGGAGAGGGAAAGAATCTGCAAAAGAACTTACCAAGTATAAAATTTTAAAAAGAAACATCTATACCTAAAGCAGTTCTCCAAGATATCAACAGGTCACCTCAATATAAAAATGAAGCAAACAGAAACCCATAACTTAATATTATAATCTTTAAAATTAATACTAGTTACCAAATACTTTTTGCTTTTTTATTAAACAGGCATCATGATTTTGAAATGGGTAAATAGGGGCTCTTAACTAATCTTGAAATCTTATGAATGCTATCTATCAGAAAAATTATCACATTATTAAACAACATTATAATTCCTGAAAATCTTATTTATATAATTTAACACCTACTAAAATCTAACACACATTTAGTAGGTCTAAATAATTCCTCAAGTTCTTATTTCTGTAACTTAAATCCTACTAAACCTTAAAATGTACTTAACTGGTCTGAAATGGGACGCTTCTACTACTGTTTAGTGAGCTGAACACAATCTCCACACAAACATACAAAGACTGACAAACAATTCAATTTTCTCAATAAGAAACAAAATAAAATTTTCACATGAACAGCATGTTACCTCCTGGACATCCTCTGGATTTCTTCGTGAAACGACCTGAAACAAAACATACAGAAATATCTAGTCATAATCAAAATTTAAGACTTCACATTTGTGTAATTATTTTCAACAATATTTGTATTAAAAATGCAATTTGCTTAAAGGAAAAAAAATACCATATTATATCACTTACATTGAACTCAGCTATATAACTTCACTATCTAAATCATACACTAAAAAATTAAGCAAAAAGGCAGCTGAAATAAAGCCCACATGCTAAAGTTCACGTATTACATTCACAAGAGAATGCCTCAGGCCTTCGCTTTTACTTGACATTATTCTGCCAATCTTATCTAACCCCCTTCCCAGCCTCCATAATATTAGAAGTATAAAAAGCAGCTGCATCTGGAAAAAATATTCAAGGGATTGTTCTGCATTATTTCTTTTTTTTGTATTATTGTTTCCTAAGCTCTTTTATTTTTTTTTAATTTAATCTTTATTGTATTTTTTCCACTACCGTTTAGTCCCCTTAAACCCCCTAACCCCCAGCAATCACCACACTTGTCCTCATCCATGAGCCCTTTCTCCTTTTTGCTCAATGCCTCCACCCCAGGTCTGAGTCCTACATCACCACACTGTAAAAACACAACCACTCGCTGGACACCTTACCAAGTTCAACCACCTGGCTCCCCACCGTAAGGGACTCAGCAGTCCCACCTGTGTATTTCACTTAACTAAATTAAGGATGTGTCCTCTGAAATGGAAACCAAAAACACAAAAAGACTAGGATAACATGAACTGAGCCCAAATGTCCATTAGTAACAACTCTTTGCAACTATGTAATTCTCTTCAGCAAAACTGCAAAATTGATGAAAATAAGAATATCAATCAGAAATCTGAGGAAAGGATAAGAACATACTAAAAATGAACAAAACTGAACCCTCAGATTATTTCAACAATATAAACTCTAACACAAAACTATTTCAATTCACCCTGATACAAATTGCTAATATTTAGTAATTTTGGTGGATTTCAATGTTTTGTCACAAAATTCAGGCAACAAACAAGTTCCACAAAAGTTGTAATATAAAACAGTGATATCTTTCATTTAAAGATCATAAATTTCTATCGTAAGCATTAACTACCAATGACTCAGTAAGTACAATATTAATATATATACACACAATATTAATATATATACACACACTATTAATATATATGTGTATGTGTGTGTATATATATATATATATTTATGGACAGAATTCTATTGTCAAGTCTTGAAAATTATTACCCTAAAGCAGTGCTTCACAAACCATACCACACAGGACGCTGGTATTCTTTAAAAACAGTGATTCCAAAGGATTAAAAATGAAGTCAGTTTACCTTTGTTTAAAAATTAAACACATAATATACATTTTTATGCCTAGCAAATCTCCAAAAGGAAGGTGTACAGTATTCCCCAGAGTCATCTATCCACTCAACTTTTTATTTTTATATGTTGTTTATTTATTATATTATTTATTTAGTGTGACATCAACTAAAAGTTGGAACACAGTTGAGAAATGCTACTGCAATGTGTGTAGTCTATCAGCCCCTACTAATACCGAAAGCAAATTCTAAATTTAGGAAAACAAGTAAGAAAACAAGTAAGGTACCCATCTCTTACTGTGTTAAGATATTAAATCCTTTCCTTCATTCAATCGTCACAGCAATGCTGCCTGGTAGAATGAGAATGAGTCAAGGCCTAAGAGCATACAGGAGCATATACTAATCATATTAATCAGTAATGGGCAGGACTGGATCTCATAATTCCATGATTCCAAACAAAGTGCTCTTTCCAGAACATAACTCAGTTGGCCCTCCTAGACATTAAAATTCCAAGTATGTGAGAAACAGTCCTAACGCCTGTTACATAAATCCATTTTGTCTTTACAGAGAAATGCAGATCAACCAAAAAACAGAAGTTGAAGCATTTTCGCAAACAGAAAGAATTAAGAAGAAAGAAATTTGAATACTACCTCTGGCACTAGCCATGAACTGCTTTTTTACCAGTTTAGTAATCAACCAAAATTAAAAAAAAGAGAGAGAGAGAGAGAGAGAGAGCAATGTTAAAATGAGCCCCTTTGCCTATCCTTACAACAAAAAACAAAGAACAGACATTGTAGTTCGGGGCCTAGCCCAGGCCCATTACAACCCACAGATCATACGTCATTAGGTCCTCTACATCCTTTGCAGAGTGCTAACTCATATTATCTGCTTAACAAATATTACTAAGTTCCCTTAAAAGTCAAGTCAAAAACTCTCTTCTACCTAATTACCATTATGATAATTTGAAATCACCCTGTCAACTCTGATATACTCGAAATAACTTTCTTCATAAGATTAAGAAATAGCTACTGGAAAACAAAACTACAAAATTTTAAATCTAAGTATTATATTTCTTAACAAAAAAATACACAAAATAAGCCCATTTAGAAATGAGTAGTTAAACATACATTTTAAGAAGGCACTTTTATGAGCAACTTCTTATTTCAAGTCTCTGATGACTATTTCACTTAAGTGTTAAAATGCTACTTTAAGAAAATAAAAGAGCTAAGAGGATAAAGTATTTACAAAAGTAATATATTTTTTAAAAAATTAAATGTCAAGACACAAATAATCAAACACAAAAAAGACAAGAGGGGCCTGGCTGCCCATTCTTCATTTCTCAAAGACATGCCTCTTCAAATGTAGGGCAGGTATAATGGGATATACAACAATGTGAGGCTGCACCATATTGAGCATTTCAGTATGCATTAGCATTGTGGTGATTAGGTAAACTAAATGGCACATTCATCAATATAATACATGCAAATCTGGCTTTCAGACCTTTGACTTTTATAAAATCCATATACTTTCATATAAATATACTTACACCTTTAAACTGCATTTCAAACACACAAAAAAAGAACTCAGGCAAGAAGAACCGATACCTCAAAGTGCTCAGCTCACATAAGCAAACATCCTACTACCAAACTCAACGTCCAGCCCACCCATCACCTGCATCTCAGCTCCTCTCGCCCTCTTCTCCCCACAGAGCTGCAGGTATCACTAGCTGGCAAGCATATGCGGACTGGTTATCACCCACCAGCCAGGTAGTCTGAACCCCAGAGACAGCACCTGCAAAAACCCTAATTAGACATTCTGTATTTTTAGTTCTCTGGAGAGGAAGAACTCCTACATTACGTAAGTCAATGGGACAAATTTTAGACATTCAACTTTCTAACAAGTTTTTATGAAAGTAATACACTGAAAGTAAGAAATTGCAGTTTTCTACATTATTAAAATCCCAAAATCTCATGAGAGAATAAAGAAACTAACATTATTATCTCTAGATACTCAATAAATGTTTGCTGAAGTTGTTTCCTCACTTAAAGTTTTTCCAATTAGTATAGCACCACTCTAAGGTAAACTATTTTCCAACCAAAGTTCAAGGAAATCAAAATCCGCAATTTCAAAAAAAAGTTTGTAGTTTAACATAATAACTTAATATCTAGATATATATATATAGCTTGTCAATAAGATGTAAACAAAAATTTTTTAAACCCACTTACTAAAATTGTTGGTATATGAGATAACTTTCTACTAAATAATATTAAGAGTCAAAAATAAAGGGCAGAATATAAAGAATTTGGAAAAAAATTGAACCTGAGAGCCACTATTTTTCAAAATTTTTAAGCATAAATACATTTTAATTTCCTCCCTATCCCCATAATTACTCTATTTGCTAAAAATACCTCCAGATTATGCCAAAACCAAGTATTTCTTCAAGAAATCTTTATAGAGCTACTGTTTAAACAAATGAACATTAATATTCTCACTGCTTTAATAATGGGCATTTGTAATAATGTAAGAGGTTAAGGGTTTAAACTTTAGTGACCTTTTATTCCTTTAAAGTGACCTGAGAGATCCAAGATGCAGAGGAGCAAGTAGAAGCTACACTAACCTCTTCTCAGGACCAATCTGGAATTATAACTACATTGTACAGAAATCATCCTGTATAACCAGCTGAACAGTAGCTGGAGAGAAGCCCTATATCCAAGGACAGACAGAAGAAGCCACTTCACCCCAAGGCTGGTAGAGAGTGTGGAGGAGGGCAAGAGGGTTGGCTGGGCTCCCATGGGCGGCAGCTGAAGTTCCGGAGGGATATTTCAGTGGCTGGGGGAGGTTCCCAGAGATGTGTGCGACTAAACCTGAAGCTGGGCTCCCTAGCCTACAGCACCAGAGTCAGAAAGGAAACCAGGTAACATGCAGGTGTGTAAAGTAGCAGGGTGTCTGTCCACCAGGGAAAGAAAGCTGGAGATGAAGAAAGCCTCTTAAAGAATGAATGCACAAAATTTCATTCAAAGCCACTTACCCTGGGCTCTGGCAGAGGGAAGGCAGAGTGGACTAGAGACACTTAAGGAGAGTCTGGGCTTGGTGGCTCTGAAGAGAGAACTGAAAGAACAGCTGCCAGGGTCTCTGTGCTGAGTCATTCCCCATACTGCGGAAGCCACCTTTCTCAGGCAGAAAGAGGACTCCTCTCTGAATGGCATTAGCCTGAGGGAAGCAATAGCCACACCCCCAAGAATTACTCTGCCCCACCCTATGGACCTTAAGCTGGACTGCTGATAATAGCTTGATTAGTTTAAAACTGATCAGTTTTGACAGTTGACTAGTTTAACAAAGAAGGCAGAAAATACGAAACAGCCAAAATGGGAAGAAAAAGCAGACCCCAAATGAAAGAACAAGAAAGAACAAGAGATTCTCCAGAACAACTAGATGAAATGGAGGCAATTTATCAGACAGAGTTTAAAGTAATGATCATAAGGATACTCAACAGCATGAAAAAAAGACATAGAAACCATAAAAAAGGACCAACCAGTCATAAATAAAGAATGCAATATCTAACATAAATAATATGCTGGAAGGAATAAAGTAGGTTAAATGAAGCAGAGGATTCAACCAGTGATTTGGAAGACAAGGAAAAAAAAAAAACACCCAAGCAGAGTGGCAAAAAGAAAAAAGATTGTTTTGTT